TATATATATATATATATATATATATATATATATATATATATATATATATATATATATATATATATATATATGAAATTCATTAATTTGATTTTCAAATGCTTTGCTTATCACTTGGGAAATAATTAAATAATGGTTGATACATGTGGCCACTTGTTTGTCAAGACACATAATTATTGCACAGAGGTGGAAAATCTGATTTTTTTGGCATTTTTTAATCGGTTTGTATCGGGTCAATCGAGTTAGAAATGACAAGCAAAAAGTGGCATTCAAAGGCTAGAACCCTAATTTCTATTAATTTAATGTGGGAAATTAAATCTGTGCACTTAATATTGAGGACACAAAAGTCCGCTAAAATTTTAATTAACTAGATTACCTCCGTATAAATTCCATGTTGCGTTGGCGAAGCCACCAAATATTAACTTCTTGTTATCCTTGACGACTTTAACAATTGTAAGAGTGGGTATTTTCCCAATACATCTAGCATGGAATGTTGCGGCTTCCCAACCGTCTTTTGTTGCTCGCCAGCATACACTCCAGTTTCCTGCTTGTGGTAACCATTCTCCCAGTCTTTTTGTAAAATGCAGTGGCTCAGACGACAATATTTGTGATGCGATGGGCGAAACTAAATGTAAATGTTAAACACAACAGTTTGTCATGAGTACTGAGATATGCTAAGATGATAGGAGTGTGTTCTCCCCAGATGACTCGGTAGCTTAATCGGTAGAATGTCAACCCACTCCGCTGAATATGCGAATTCAAATACCGCGTAAGTCAACTTTATGTTGACAACGCAGTGTTGAGATTTTCTCAGGAATATATTGTATTATGCAAAAATAGAGCATAATATTATAAAGATAAGAAAATAAGGATATAGAAGATAAGAAGATAAAGATAAGGAAGATAAGAAGTTAAGGATAAGGAAGATAAATATAAGGATAAGGAGGATAATAAGATGAAGATAAGGAGATAAGAAGATAAGGAAATAAAGATAAGGATAAGGAAGGTAAGAAGATAAAGATAATGAAGATAAGGATACGGATAATAAGTTAAAGATAAGAAGATAAGAATTAGGATAAGGATAACGAAGATAAGAAGATAGAGATAAGGAAGATTAGAAGATAAGGATAAGGATAAGGAAGATAACAATAAGGAAAATAAGAAGATAAGGATAAGGAAGATAATGATCATAATAAGGAAGAACCATTTATATTTTAACTGCGACATGTTTGTGAGATGTTGGGTTGATGTAGGGTCGATGTGAGGTCGATGTATAGTTGATGTAGGGTCGATGTAGGACCGATGTGGGGTTGATATAGGGTCAATGTAGGGCTAGGAGTATAAAAACCATGGCGAATGAACAGTTAAGGAAAAGTACTCTTTTTGCAAAAAAAAACCCATTTAAATTCTTGTGCGTAATTTAAATAAAATCAAACATGTTATGTTCTAAGAAGTAGACCACATTAACTTTGTAAACGTCTCAAAGAAATAAATGTATTTTAAGACTGAATTCTTGTGTAAACTTCTGGCTGCAAAGCGCTCCTGTCTTGTCTAAATTGCTTTCTCTATTCCAATATAAGCCTCGTTATTGTTGTGTTTCCAACCCGCACGGAAAACCCGCGACACGGTAGAAACTGCAAATCTCTGATAAAGTTAATCCTTTAATTAGTTTCACCCTGACAACGCGTGACAACCGGTGTGCTTTAATAACCTTATCTGAGTTTTAGTACTTTAAAAACCTAGCACTAAAATATAGAAATCGCTTGACAATTATATATCATGACCTCTTCAATGTGTTTGTACGGGCACGGCCTGTACTCTTTGTCTTGGAGACTATTTGCGACAATTCCTTGACATCAATGTTACTATATACTGCATGACCACTAAAGTTTAATTCTAGCGAAAACAAATATATAAGGTTTTACAACAATACTCAGGATTAAATCCGTTTAACTTACAAAGAATACAAAATAAATGTAATAGAAGATATCAACTCACCAAATGTCAAGGTACATACGATATAAATAATTAAACGTTAACTATTAACTTGTTCAAAGAAGTCTTAGCAAAGCTGTTGTCGCACCCTCGGTTGCACTTTGCACTTTGCTTTGAGAGGGCAAAAGTCCACGCTTTCTTGTCCAAAATATGAATGTCATTAATATAATTAGTATATATAATTATGAATACTATTAATTGTAACACCGCCGTGCTATAGTGTTGAGGGCGCCTCAACATAGTCCCCCCGTTGAACGGTTAGACAGTCGTTCAATATAAATTCATTTCGTCTCTTCTAACAAGCAAAGCTTTGCGATAGGTCTCACTAGTAACGACGACTGGGTCTTTACTTCGGCTGTGCGTACTAAACCGTCCGTGCCAGGAAACACCTTCGTCACACGTCCTAGATTCCAATGACTTCTTGGCTGGGTTGAGTCAACGACCAACACGAGATCATTCACTTGAAGATTTCTTTTCGGCACAAGCCACTTTTTCCTTACTTGAAGAATGGGAAGATACTCTCGAACCCAGCGGACCCAAAATTGATTTGCTAGAACCTGCGCTCTCTTCCATTTCTTACGTGAGAACATCTCTGAATCATCGAACACTCCAGGAGGAATAGCCAATCCTTGACATTGCTGGAGGAAATGGCTTGGCGTTAGGGCTTTCATATCTTTTGGATCATCACTGCTTGGACACAACGGACGCGTGTTAAGGATACCAACAACTTCAGCGAAAAGTGTCCGCAACGTCTCACGATCCACAAAGGCATGTGGATGTCCGAGGATAGCCTTCATGACTTTGCGCACACTTCGAAT